ACTTTGTTTATTTAAAATCTAACTAAACACACGAACCCTGAAAAACGAGTTTTCTACGCAAATCCACGTTTATTTTAAAATGAGCCGTTGCGACTTCCGACTGATTATTTCCTTATTTTACACGTTTATATTAATTTATTTTATATTCAGTGTTCTCTGATTGTATGCTACAGGTAGGCTGTCATTTTATTAAGTTCCTTTGATATTGTAAACGTTGTGTTATGCATCTCTTTCCTGCGATATCGGATGTTGAAAGAGCCATTTTCAGACCTGGAGGTTGCCGCTTGGTTCTTGGTTAATAGTTTGCTGCCTTCAGGTGCTGTTGGAAAAATGTATCAATCATGACTTGAGCACATGTGATTAAATTAGTAGGTATGATGTTATGTCAATGTGATTTTCAATTTTCTTGTTTCAGCATTGGAGAAGGACAGTACCTGTGATTGTTTTGACATATCACAAAATGTATACAACATATCATGCACATGACAAAGATATATTTTCCGCAGGAGCACAAAGTAGCTTTGCCACAGAAATCCACTCTTTTATGAGTTCTTGTGTTTCTCAATCAGCTGGGCACAGGTGTATGATTTTCATCATTTTCATACTGGCTCTTTCCTGCAAGATTCCAATTGTTGTTACGGTGCTCATTACAACACCTCAGTCAGCTTTCCTGCAGGAGTCAGTGTCTACAGACAAGTTGTGTGATTTTGTGTGTATCCGAGGCAGAGGGTAGCATGATGGTTACCAAGGCGACAGAAAGATCTTTTCCCAGATTGTTTTTACAGCAGGAAGACTTCCTCTACTCTAAATGTTTACTTATTATTATTTGTGCAAATTAATTAAATATTTCAAATTTGGGAGTGATTAATGGTGAAATTAGTCATACTGAGTGTCGCTACATTGCTTTAATATTTAAGGAGGAATTAAAGGGAGGGTACAACAAAAATGTCCCTATTTTGTTTTGTTTTTTTAAAAGAGATCCAAGATAATAACATCATTTTTATACTATAAGTGTTGCATCTTTGCAAAATTGATTCAAGATGAAAGACTTTTGGATAAGAAAGAATCAAGGAGTGTTATACGTGTATCAACACACTGTCTCATGTGTGGCTGCAGGGCAAAAGTGCTTTGACCTCATTGCAAACTAAACAGTGTGACACCAGTGTACGGTTTATTTCACTGTTTGACATTTCACTAATAAAACCAAAGGACAGACATTTCTGAGGCAGGGATCTGTGTGTGTCACTCACCCAGAAACCTGATTACAGCACCTGATGAAATTATCATATTTACAATAAGACCTTCCCATTATGATGCTCCGCTATTGTGCTTCAGGTGCAGACAGTAAATGCCAGAACAATCGGACAGATGGGGGGGGGGGGGGGGATTTTCATCAATGACAGAAATGAATGGGAAAGATGTGTAGGTGACAGGAAAGGAAATGTTTCAGTGTAATTCAGTGAGCTGTTGGTTACCTCCTTACCACGCCGCTCGCTGGTTTGGACCTCTTCTTGGCTCCGTGCCTCATGAGTGTAATTTGGATGAGTGCAGCTCGCTTGCCTTTGGGCTCATTAACAACAATATAAACAGTAATTACTGTGATCGCCTAATTAATTCATTTAAAAATGCTGCACGGCGTTAAAGGCATGAGCAAATATTTTCTGGAGATAACAATTTTACGGAATCATTGTTGACATAATTAGCAATTTCATGTTCCCAAATACAACAGAAATAATTAAAAACTTTTTTTGTCCTATTTTATACATTTACTCTTTTCTTATTCAGATTGCCTCGGCTTCTCCTTCCCTTTCCGCTAAGCCTGTTTTCTGTGATTTATCCTGCTCTGATCCACTCTGCTGCCTGATAAATGTAATCCCCCCCCTCTGGACACATTCTTTTGTTTTTTGGCTGTTTCCCGACACTCCTCTGATCAGCTGGACTTATTATAGAAATCTCTGCCTTCCTTCTGTGGGTTTTGTTGAGGTAAAGAATGGTCATTTTGCCCACAATTGCTCATTAATTCAATGTTTGAATGGCTAGTTAATTGTGAACAGTTGTAAGATTCAGCTGAACATAAAGTGGATTTGTTGTGGCTCTGCACAATAGATGATGACATATTTATATTTATTTGACCATCTTACAGAGATTTTCTCTGAAGACAATGTTTCAATTATGCAGCATAGATATGTTCCATGATAACAAGTTGATAAGATCAGCTCATGGCATTGGCACATCTATGTTTTGGGTTTTTATTAACAAACATCTGATTTTCTTTATTATTAAAACATGTATTTTTATTCTTTCATCGGAACAGTGGTGCCTGAGAAGTAAAGCACAATGTGAGGGGCACGTGACAGTGTTTTATGTCTTCTGACCCTTCAAATGCCCCCATTAGTATTCCTGCAGAATTATTACTGGCATCACTTCTTGTTGATACCTCTCTACTCATTAGAGTAGAGCAGTGAAAGCACATTTATAGACAGATCCGACTGATGCATGGGCGAGGGAAGAACATCTCACTATATCTAAATGGTGACAGATGTACAGTATATGTGATACACTGCAGTGTTGTTGATGTTTTAAAAAAGGCCGCAGATGAATAAGCATTATCATTTGATCCAAACAGAGGAACGAGTTATGGGCAGGGCCGGTTTTTTGGCATAGGCGGTCGCCTAGGGTGCCAGATCTGGGGGGCGCTGCGCTGGTAGCTCTGGGAGGGAAGAAAACATTTTTGACCGTTGGTGCTCATCCTAATTTTCGGCCTTGATGTAACAATATTCATAATTAAGTAAATGTAACACACTTTTCACCCCGGTTACACTTTTCATTTGCCCTGTACGATGGGCGCTGTAAGTGATGAAAGTGGGGGATGTTGGCTTATCAGGCGCCCGCAGCTCACAGCCAAAGTGCGAGTGAGCGTGGGAGCGAGCGAGGGAGAGAGGGAGAGAGAGAGAGGGCGCACCGGTACCGGCGCTGTTGTTATTAGCATCTGGTGCTCTAACGGATATAAGAAGTAGATGTTTCTACAACAAGGTGGAGGAGAGCTCTCCTGTCAGACTGAGAGGCGATGTGAGATGTGAGATAACTCTCTGAGGGTTTAGATAGTTCACTTTAGTCTAGGTTATCTCAGTGGGTCTCAAACGTTTTGATCACAATTTATGTAAACAAATATTTCCAAGGCACTCCTTTATAGTTATTGGGATAAACAGGTTTGAAATCATTTCAATGTAGGACAGTAAACCAAAAATATTGTTTAAAACTGGAGAGATAAAAAAATATACGCCAGCTAAAATCTCGCCTAGGGCATCAAATTGGCTAGAACCGGCCCTGGTTATGGGTAACCTGCTTTACCAAAATAGGGACCAGTCAAATAAATACAATATTTGAGGTAAATACTACACACTTTTGTATGATGTATATAATGTAAAATACCTAGAAAATCAAATTTGCAAGAAGCTAAAGCCGCGGCGCAGAGAGGGATGGTGAGATGGAGTAAAGAAATATAATTCAAGTCAGTAAATCATGCAGGATGTGCAGTTTGGCAACAGTTGCAGTAATTATACTGACTATAAACAAACATCTGCAGAACAGGATGGATACAATACAATCAAATGAACACATTGTTTCATAATTTGTCCTATTTTGGCGGAGCAACTTGAGATAAAGGGAGACTCAGAAGATGGGAACATGAAGCACAGCACTAGATCGCCACCTGTTGGTGTAATATATGTGCCATGTCCTGCATTATATATTTACTGTATATATATTACATGTGTTTAAAAAATGTAATGTTTTTTTTCTATTATACAATTTCTGACAACAATTATGCCAAATGCCAGAAATATGTTCAGTTAAGGAATTTATACATTTAAAAAACGTCTTATTTTAACAAAAAATATGCAGTGATGGAAATATTTAAAAATATAATAAAAAATAAACAATCTCCATTTTTGAGAGGCTGACCACAGACTTCTGGTATATTTGCATTAAAAAAAAAATACTATAGTGATTCATTGATTATTAATAATTATATTCTTGGTATTATTTCTGTCAATTGACTAATTGATAGGACAACACATCTTTGCAGCTTTAATGTCCCAAGTTGCACAGGTATCATACTGCAGCACATAGAAGTATTAAAAGAAACCATCAAGTTAGGCCAGCATTTTCTTAATGTAGAATTTTCTTAAGTAATTGCTCTACTATGTTAGTGTATTTTAATGAAACATCCCTGTAGCCTCAGTATGCTGTGCAGCTGCAAAATGAAGTGAAATAAAAGACAAAACACACAAACGTTGAATAACATTTTGTTGGGGAAAAGCCCTGGTTAACTGAGCTCTGTGACTTTAAACAAGAAATGTTAACATAGGTTCTGGCAAAGAGACCCCGTGACCAATTGGTCCCCTGAACCTGTGCAATGCTATATAAAAAAAACAAAGATGATACTGTACCAAAGTCCTGCATTAGACAATATATTTTACTCAGACTCAGTCAGAGGTGTTACTGTAATACAAATGTTAAAGCATGAGTATTCTTTTGTGAGAATTATTCAGTTTTCCTATGTTGGCAAAAAATGTTATGGCACTACAATTTTTTTCATTATTCATAAATACGAAAATGAAATCATCAAAGGTTTAATTTGTAAAAGTATCCTCAGGAACATATTAGTTGTATCAGATTAAATCACAATGAATGAAGAAATTGCCTACCTTCCCCGTGTGTCCGCTAGATGGCGCTAGAGTCTTATATAGAAAATAGAGAACAATTCAGTTTGAGGTGGCTACAGATAAGGATTAAGACAGAGCGCTCACTCTGCTTTTTTTTTTTAATACTACACATATAGATGCGGATTCCAAAGATTGCTTACAAGCAGGGTGAATATTTTAAATGTCAATGTGTCTAACTGCCATCCGTGGTATGGTTTAAAAAATGTCTAGTGGTAAACTTTTGGCCTTTTCCGACGGCCCTTGACTCATATCAAATATAATTTTGAAGACCGGAAGATAATCCCGCTTTCCTCTGACGCAGCACACTTTCTTATATGCTATCTTTGGTCCTACTCTACATTCTGACACTTGTTGGGGTACATGTGTTCCTGAGCCTGGTTCTGTGGTTAACCGAGTTACCGGCAGATGAAGAAGCCACCTTTGGAGACATCTCTAACCCAAGCGTTGCATCTCCTGACTAAGGTTAGCTGTTTACAGATCTTATTGGCTGGTTTGCTCTTACATACCCTAATTTAACTAACTGAATATAAACGTTAGCTGTGTTATGGTATTGTAAACTCTGGAAAACGTTTTGGCGTATTCTTTACCTGGTTAGAATTAAAGCAGTCTTACAAAAATTAAGTTCACAAGTGTTAACTAACGACACTTTTCTTAGTTTTTGTGTAGCACATTCGGTCACGTGTGTTGCTTTGTTTTGGTGTATCCAAAAACTTAGCATGTTAGCTTGCTATGCTAGTTGAGCTTCTAGAGCAGAACGCCGCCTGTCCTCTGTCTGGTGATGCCGAGTTTCCGTTGTTCCTTTGTTATTACGACTGCTGCTTTCATCAATACATACAATCACATACAACTGAAGTTTATTCTGTGTAATTAAACCTTTTCAGAATCCTAATCGTTTCTGCATTACAGAGATTTCTCACTTATGGACAAGATAACACAACAACTGCTGTCAGAAAAAGAGGCCATGATCAATTTGAAAATAGCATCAATAAACCTAAACTCTGTTTACTCACTGTTTATACAAATTCATCAAATGTTCTATAATGGTAACAACTATTTTGATTAGAATATATTGTGTTTATTACACTAACTAGCGAGACCGATAGCCAAGCCAATATCAGCTTCTTGTGAGAGTATGTCTGTTGATGAGAAACAGTTCACCATTACATTGTGTCTGTCCACCATACAGCAATGTCAAATGACCCACTTGGTATGTTGGTCACCATTCTTTAAATAAGATTGTATATATTATGTGTATGTTGAAAAACAAACTACTCCAGTGTTGGTTTGAAGACATTTTTTATAATTTCATTTTTGCATCGTATGGTCCTCAACAATACATATACTGAATTGTTCATCACATTTCTCAAAAACGTTTGGTCAGTAAAACATCCAAAAAAGATTTAAAAAAATGCCCATGACAACTTCTTTGAGCCCGAAATGTTCAGTTTACAAAGATGTAAGACGAAGATAAGCAGAATACATCACATCATATATTCTCAAACAAGAACCTATTTGGCTTTTTACAAATGTCTTTTACACTTTAAAAAGAGGTTGCAGATTAATTTTGTATAATTATCTCATATCCTCAATTAAAAGTGACACTCTCCCCTATATACTTTTATAATTACTAGCCTCATTTCTTAGACACAGCCTACATGGTTATTCACAATGGGAGATTGGTAGTGTGGTTAAACATTCTGAGGTCACCATTTCCCTCAACAGTCAGAAACAGTTATTCAGTGCGCCTCCTAAAACCTCCATCAGTATGAGTAACATGTTTTATATGTTGATTAGTGCAAAACATCTGGTCATGTGAAGATCAATAACAAGAAAGCAGTGGTAGCACCCCCTTGATGGGTATTCAAAAATAGATTTCTCTTGTTTTATTACATGAGCATGTAGCCAGATGAGGTCACATCTGGGGCAGGTCGCACATCATCTTCCACTTTGGGTTACATGATAGCTGTAATCAGCACTGGAGGTAGGGCATAATAGTCAAAGTTTACCAAGGGGATTATGATGGAGAAATAAAGCTTATGTTTTTTGTTAAAATAACCTCTTTGTCAAACTGAGCCTCAAGTACAGTATACTATGCTATTTTCTATGGGTGTCAAGATTTTGATTCTAAGTAATAAAAAAAAATGACGCAAATGACCTTTCCATTTCTATGATTGAAATCAAAAGCAGGGTCTGTGACAATAGCCCCAAATCCTATCACATATGGGTCATGCTGTCCACCCACTTTAAGATGATCCACCTTGCAGTGCATGGGGGCTGGGAAGTTGCTGATATCATCTTTGAAATTATCCCTTGTTTAAGATGTCTTGTTCTTTGGTTTCCTTTCCTGCCGTGCTATAATCTCATACAGTAAGGAGAGGGTCTGAGCTGGCTGTGATAAGAGCCGTCTGTACAGTGACCTAATCAAAGCTTCAGTCAGTGTCTCCTCTGACCCCATGTATTCCCTCTGATGTCAATGAGAGCTTCTGTTGGGTCTGCAGGTCGTGACCCTCATCCACGATCAACAACCACACTCACAAATGTACATTTGTCGACACACATGTATTGATACAAACATATATACTGCAGAACATATCAGAATACACACATTGTTCCTGGGGGAATGTGAGCTTTTGTGACAGTCGCTCCATTTGAGAATGAATTCAAATGAAAGATTAATATAAAAAATAGAATAGAATAAGCAATAAAAAGATACATACAAAAGTAACGTATATAAACATAATAAGTTAACCTAAATTGTCCAATAAAAGATACAACAAAATAGAATACAAATATTTATATAATCATTAAAAAAGAAAGTGAAAATCGTGCATGTTTTACCACAATACCACAACAACATTTATATTACAATATAGAGAGTAGTGCATTAGTGTTAGTAAGATTTGACGGCTGAATTGCACAGTGTATGGGGGTTTGGCTGCTGATGGTGAAGTAAAGGCGCATTTCTACCTTGGCGCGGAGCTCGGTTTAAGCGTGCCGTGTCGTGCCGGGCCCGTTTTTGGTTGCGTTTCCACTATGCCTAGTTCCGGCCCGGGGCTACTTTTTCACCTCTTTTCTGGCCCGACAAAATCGTGGTTCTATCGGGGCCAACAAACAGGGCTGAGTCGGGCTGAGTTTGCTAAACTAGAGAGAGAATCGCTGGCAAGGGGGCTACAACTACAACAAGATGGACATATTTGACCGTGATTTAATTGTAATACACGTTTCAAAATGATGCCGAAGTAACAACATACTGATACCGGTTAGTAAAAACCATGAATTAATGCTTTGACAAGTCTGCAGACAGACGGCAGGCGAAAAACCTTTTAAAATGCGTGTTGTCTAAATGGAGATCGGCTAAGCTAACGCAGTATATGCTCCGACCATCCACACTCACAACAACGGCCTACAGACATAAATAAACCAGTGACTGTATTCGCCATGACACAGACAGTCTGTGGTTTGTACTTGTTTAACTTTTGTCTAGTTTCTGAACAGATATGAGGAGCTGTGAGCTCTGAGTGCTAACAGCTAACGGCTGATGTTGTTTTTCTGGGGTGCTCATTGAAGATGACGTCACGGCTCCGCCTACACTGCGTTACTAGATACTACCCCAGTTCCTAAACTGTAATGGAAGCGCAGCATTAAAGTGAGCCGGGCCTAACAAGGCCTAACAAGGCCTAACAAAACCGTACTATTCGAGCGAGGCCTGCGGTGGAAATGCGCCATAAGTCAGTCTATTGACTCGTGTCATAGCAACCGAAGAGGCCTCAAGTTTAGCAGTAAAACTAAATACTAAGAATGGGTCTCTAATCTTTCCTCAGGTGCTGTTCACTTTCGGGTCAGTGTTGTATAGAGAGACACATCAAACCCAGAGACTAGACAGAGTGAGCCAGCAGTCTGACCCCCCCCCCCCCCTCCGGGCTGCAGGCGTCCACATCTTCTCCACCTGGTGAGTTTTAAAGCTTTTCTGTAGTTGTGAGATATCATCGCTGAGACATCCACATTGGTATTACAAAACAGCTGCATACATCAGAGGGGCAAAGATTGATTTTATTACCATGAATGTATCTTAATAAGGGCAGCAGTGATTTCTCCTGAGTCATCCCCTACATTGATTGTACCTATATACATCTGTCGGCAAACACTTCACATGATACACTGCATAGGCTGGCCTCCTACCAAATGTATGTTTTGATAGGTTCCAGTTCTGAAACCTCCAGCAGGATTAGGTATACAACATTTGTATTCACTGCTTGTTAGATATGGCGGAAACTGTTACTCTCACTGCCAAGCTATGTAACTCTAACATATCTGTTGGTTTTTGTTTGCTTTTTTGTTTCCCATATACAAGTTAGCTGTCTAATGCCCTTGCCACACGAGGACGATAACGCAAACGGACCGCAATCGTTATCAAAAAAGTCTTCCGTCCACACGCAACAGGCACCAGAAACGTTTCCGTCCACAGGAGACCGCTCGAAACGCTGTAGTACATATGCCAGGCCTGTAAGTGGTGCTGTACTCCTACCACAAAAGCAGCGAAGAAGACTTCCCGCGCATGGTTGCCATGGTTGCCCTTCTGTTTATTCTCCGCTGTGGACGCTCTGGCTCTTTTTCTCCCTCCCCGAGGCAAGCGTTTGCTCCTGCTGTAAATCTCTCTGGTAGTCCACCAGCAGATGACAAACACCCACCTCTCCGCCTCTTCCAAGGGACGAGGGGACCGTGCAGCAGAGTTTCAGTTAGATTTTTTTTCTGCCGGTCAACATGTCCATTAAAGTTTAAATCTTCCGGACAAAATTAGAAAAGTGCCGGTCAAATGTCTTCTTTGTTTTTTATTGAGCTTTAAAACAAATGAATAACGACTCGATATAATAATATAAGAATAAAAAACGGAGCCTCTCTTTTCCGACCCCCCTCTTCTGACAGCCCAGCTGCTGATCTCTGAGCAGGAGAGGTGGGGAGAGGCGGGGCTATTGCATCAACGTTATCAGGACATGATCGTATCGGCGTAAACACGGAGCCGTTTGCCCCCCCAGAGCGTTTCGTTTGCAGATCTACCCACCTAGGGACCCGTTATAGTTTTCTGCGTTTCCGTGTCGGCCTCGTGTGGCCGAACCGTCTATCTGATAGAGAACTGTAGCAGATATGACCGTTATCGTCCTCGTGTGGCAAGCACCTAAAAAGCTGGTTTGCTTCCACCTGAAGACCTGCTCCACTAGATTTTCCAGTACACTCTAGGAATGGATGATTTGTGTATTATGCTTTCAGATGGTGGCCCTGCTATTGGAATTGTTTGTTTGTTTTTAACCGCACACATGAGGCAATTTCAGATACATTTTGGATGCAAAATATCCTGATTTGAATCTCTTAAACCTTTTGTCCCTCCTCATTCTTTTTTGTAATACCTTTGAGCAATGGAAAGTGTGTAAATGACAGGCTTATCATTTTCAGCTGCCTGTTGCCATCGCTGGTTAAATAACAAACATCAACAGTGGGCATATCTTTGTGATGACTCAAATTAAAGTTTGTCTATTGTCTGCCTAATGAACCCTCTATGGCTGGTGTCTGTATTCAAGAGTGAACTACTGTTCTTCAGAGAAATGATCAGCTGATAACCTCACATCAGTTTAAGGATCTCTCAGCTCAACTGTTCATATCAGATTAGAAACTGAATTTATCAACGTAATAGATTTGATTTCAAGTGAGTAGCTTGTGAGCTACAGTATGCTTAACTGTGCTTTAAGAAACATTTAATGAAACGCTATATATATAATGCTGCTCATCTTATTTCAGATCAGGTTTTGTTACAGGCTGTAAACATAAATGAGTGGTTCTGGCTTCCTTAGCCAACACATTTGTGTGGTTGTTCCATTCTTTAGTCACTTGAAAGTTGTCAGAATATTAAAAGGTAAACCTAAAAAATATTAGTTAAGAAATGTAAAGGTTACCAATTTGTGATAAATAGACTTGAAACTGGATTAAATGTGTTGTAAATAGTAATGACATTATTATGTAAGCCAACTATGGTGTTACATTGCAACAATTGAAATGCCAAACATCAATACGGAATAAGACCTCTCTCCAGTGCTTTAAAGGACTAGCATGATATAAAACATTAATATTTACTTTCAAAGCACTCGCATATGTAAACATTTTAATTAAATACACGTCTAAATTGTTGTCTGGGGGCCAGGAAGGGGCCCCATTATTCCAGGTGTTGTGTTGTCTGCTGTTGGTCTATCTATAAGGTCCTTGACTCAATGTTGCTCAGACATCTTGCCTGTGATCAATTTGACTATAATCATGAGTTTGAATAATAATTGAAAGCATGACATTGTGGATAAAAGCAACTGAGTTGTCTTTGCAGTGGAGTGGAATGCTCAAACATCTGGAAGTCCTTAGAGAAGAACCACTGCTGCTCCTTCGGATTCAAAAGAGCAATTTGAGGTGGTTTGGCTATTTGATACAATACTGCCTCGATGCCTCCCTGTGGAGATATTCCCTCTGGAAGAATCCTGGGGCAGTCCCATAACACTATACATCCCATCAGAGCTGGGGGTACTATGGGATCCACCCTAATCCAATAATACTGTGCAAAGTATAATTAACTACAGGTAACTACTTAGACTACAGTTATTAAAAGTGTAGATGATTCAAACAAGGTTCTACATATAACTGGGATCAAGATTATTCTTATTTTTTGAATAACTATTGTATTGAAAAACCTCCACATAAAACATGGACTTTTGTCGCTCAGTTTTTCCAGGTTGGATAGTTAGAATTTTTGGCATTCCTCATTGAAACTACGAACACAGCTACCCCAACTAGCTGAGACCCCTGCTTGAACCAAGCAAATACGGAAAATTACGGAGGGACAACATGCAACACATGCCAGATTTGAACCCAGGACGTCACAGTCTTTAGATCAGGGGTCACCAACCTTTTTTAGGATGAGAGCTACTTTCAAAAAATAAAACAAGTCGTGAGCTACTTTTACTCCTCTTTTTTTGTTTTTTGCAGTTTATATATTTAGCACATTTTAATATTATTATATGCTTACCTTTAACCTTTGTGTGCTGTTTGGGTCTGTGGGACCCGTTTTCAGTGTTTACTAAAAGAAAATGTATTAAATTTAATTATTTTAACCTGCTTTATTTGGGGGTGGACCTCACCTTGACGATTTTTTTTTTTAAATGTTGAAGTGAAATGCATCAATCTGGAGCACTTTGAGCACAACATGAATTGATGGATACAGCTCTCAACACTCTTTAGAATATGATCACAACCAATAACAAATCATTTAAACTGGTTTATTCTTATCTTATGTTACCTAGTTAGCATTCTTTCTTTTTATGTATGCTTATTTTACTAATCACTCCCCTTTTAAACTGTTTTTTGTTTTTTTTACTGTCCTATAGTACACATTGGAATGATTTCTTACTTTATCTATATTAAATAGATAAAGGTGTGCTCTCTCTCTCTCTCTCTCTCTCTCTGTCTCTCTCTCTGTCTCTCTCTCTCTGTCTCTCTGTCTCTCCCTAGCTCTCTCTCCCTCTCTCTGTCTCTCTGTCTCTCCCTAGCTCTCTCTCTCTCTGTCTCTCTCCTAGCTCTCTCTCTCTCTGTCTCTCCCTAGCTCTCTCTCTCTCTCTGTCTCTCTCTCAGTCTCTCTCTCTGTC